ACAGAAAAGGTAAAGACTTTATTTAAAGAGGGTTTGCATTAAATAGCCAAAGCTAATAAACCTGCAACCCTCTACAATACTTACAATACATTTTCGATGGCACTAAAAATTGAATTAAATAGAAAAAAATAAATAGCAAATCATGTACGGTATTCAGTCGGGGGAATTTCTTCCGTGATCTAGTTCAGTACCCCATGGAGGCAAGGTCATTTATTTTTAGCGGTAGTATTGAGGGGTTGTTATGGATTCTACTTCTCAGTTTTAACACTATTAAGAGTATTATCAAATTATCCTAGCCAAGCGGATTATTTCCGAACCCCTTCCCCCCACCTCCCCCTCCCCCCCGCCCCTCAATCCGCGAGTGGGTGTAATTGTTTCCAGGCTGCCTCAAAACAAGGGGACAAAACCGGAAGCATACGTACAGTCTATTTTCGTGACAACAAAACGTATGTTCAAATTAGGCCATTCCAGCAATGCTTTCCACGAAACTTTCGATTCGAAAGACTTATTCGTGCCTTGCGTCATTATAAAGAGAAATTAAGACTAGGTCTAAGATCGAGAAAGCTCGTGTTTTGATAAAAGCCATTCTCACATAGCTTCACAAAAATATTCGCGCCAGATCTAAATTGAACATTGGTTTTCTGTCCTGTGAATGAAACTAATCACTAGTCAACAAACACAAAGAAGATAAGAGAACAGACTCGTCCCATTTCCTCCGTGTCAAGGTCATGCTGGAGGGCTACCAAGCTGATTTAATCATTTTAGGGTAGGTAGCCGATATCAGCAAACTGGAGTGTTTTAATGGTACTTTGGGACGAAAACCCCTTTTAAACCTAACAGAGATGTTTTCCTACCCGAGTGCTGAACGGAGATAAATTTTGATCCCCTCAAAAAACACAAACGTGTTTTTCACCTTGAAAACTGAGGGAGGAAACTTCTTTGCAAAACAATTTGATGTAAAAGATATGTCAAATTGTAGATAAAGACATCGCGAAAAGCAAAACGAGAAACCACCAACTATGTAGTCATCGCCTGCGGTGTGATCTCGCTAGACACCCACGAGCAGCACGTGGCTGGAAACTCGAAACCATTATTTTTCGTTCTGCAATCAATTCTTGGAAAAACACGTGCATATTTTTATCATAAAACGGAATTCCGGTCTCCGCCGGGTTGTGGTTGGCAACAGCAACTGGAGGAGCTACCTAAGTTTTCTGTGGATTTCCTTAGATGATTTCTCGCCTAGTTCATTTTGGACTAGACGCGAAAAAGGATTCTAAAAGCTTGGCATTTTTTTCACTTTTCTGAGTGTCGGGGCTTTGCAAGGACCGCGAGAACTTCACGTGCTCGCGCGAGTTGTCGAAAGAAAGAGTCTGCAATCCTGCGTCTGTGGTCGTAAGCGAATGCTAAGAGGCTTCTTCTGTGCTTTGCCCTGAAAAATAACATTTTGTAGCCGGTTACAGCAGGCACATTAGCGGCAAAATTCGCAGCGGAGATGGATTCAGTGATCGCATTTTTTCTCCTCTCCCTTGTCCATGTCCTTACTGTGAGTGAAGGTAAGAACGCAATTGTTTTTCATTGATGTAGACAAAATGATTGTTATTTTTCTTTATTACCCATATATATGCCGGCAATGTTGATTGATACACTGAGTTAGAAGGATATTCTAGAATATGAAGGCCCGAACGACCTCTACAAATTATGACGGAAATATCCTTTTCACGTGTTTGTGATGAAGGCAACTTAGACTTTGATCCGGTCACTCATAACTGCAAGGTTTTTCATTTGTTTATTGAATTTTAGGGTTCATATCTTGTCTCACCAGTCACAGCAGTAAAAATTCCCAAATAGTAAATCGGGATACCAAGCGGTGTCTGTCATGCGTTTGAAAAAACACCGTTTTTATACGATTTTCATAGCTCGCTTAAAATCGAACTAGGGAATCAAAAGATCAACTGACCATCGATGTGAATTGCTTTACAAACAAAGTTAGTAAGTTAATTTTCGATTTTTTGTAAAGATCTGAAACATTTATACAACTTCTGATCGTACCAATATTTTATTTGCTTATTAATTTTCGCATTCATCGTGGCATAACAGACCCGAATAAAAAGAAATCCACTAAACCTGATGTCGAGAGTTATGGATGATTCGACTACCCTAAACAAGATTCTCTACGTACGTGAATCGAAGAAAACTGAACGATGAAAACTGCGCCTTATGCTTGAAAATATGTTAGTAATGTCGGATACCATTACAATATACTTTCGGATCCCCCGAATCGGCGCGACAGAATTCAAGTTATTCTGTTCCCATAACTTTAATTTTATTTATAATCGTTATATAAGTGATATTTTAAGACAACGGCTTTCTCCAAACACAACAAAGGCACTTGAAATCCTTTTGAATCCGCTGGAAAGTTCCAGGGTGTTCGCCGGTTTTAGTTAATAAGTGGCGCTTACAAAGAATATTATTCCCTTGACTCTGTTGCAGAGTAGAAAGTATGCGTACTTGGTTCGACAACCTTTCATAGATTTTTTGTTTCATAAATAATGGATTTGCGAGGGTAAAGTTTGTTGATTATTTCACTGTAAAATGGCGTGCTGATCGCGTGGAGGACGGAATGGCAACGGAGATCCGTATCATAGTTTCTGTCTGGAACCGTGGCCTAACATATCATATTTATTATCTACAATAGCTACAAAGTAGAGCAGCCCATGTTTTGACCTACTCAAACTATGACGTAGACGCTGGTCACCTGTTCAAACTTCTAGGGTGGAAAAATCTAGCTTGGCAGTAGCAAATTCAAAGAGCTACGATAGTTTACAGGTCTCTGCACGGGTCGGCTCCAAACTATCTCAGTTCTAAATTTGAAAGGCGAGAAATCGCATAT